GGAAAATAGTCACAACATAAATTAAATTACATACTATGCTGTGTGTAATGAGGAAAGATTGAGTTAGGAACGATAATATCAGGAGAGTCGGCACAGAACCAATACTGAACTTTATAGGTTGACAACATAGTTTGGCCATGTAACAAGATTGGCAACAGACAGGGCATCACAGAGAGCAGTGTTATACAGGTACAGTAGTGACAGAGCCAGGCACCACAGAGAGCAGTGATATACAGGTACAATAGTGACAGAGCCAGGCACCACAGAGAGCAGTGATCATATACAGGTTACAACTAGTGACAGAGCCAGGCATCACAGAGAGCAGTGATATACAGGTACAATAGTGACAGAGCCAGGCATCACAGAGAGCAGTGTTATACAGGTACAATAGTGACAGAGCCAGGCACCACAGAGAGCAGTGATATACAAGGTACAATAGTGACAGCCAGGCACCACAGAGAGCAGTGTTATACAGGTACAATAGTGACAGAGCCAGGCATTACAGAGAGCAGTGTTATACAGGTACAATATTGACAGAGCAGGCACCACAGAGAGCAGTGTTTATAACAGGTACAATAGTGACAGAGCCCAGGCACCACAGAGAGCAGTGATATACAGGTACAGTAGTGACAGAGCCAGGCACCACAGAGAGCAGTGATATACAGGTACAGTAGTGACAGAGCCAGGCACCACAGAGAGCAGTGATATACAGGTACAGTAGTGACAGAGCCAGGCACCACAGAGAGCAGTGTTATACAGGTACAGTATTGACAGAGCCAGGCATCACAGAGAGCAGTGATATACAGGTACAATAGTGACAGAGCCAGGCACCACAGAGAGCAAAGATATACAGGTACAATAGTGACAGAGCCAGGCACCACAGAGAGCAGTGATATACAGGTACAATAGTGACAGAGCCAGGCACCACAGAGAGCAGTGTTATACAGGTACAATAGTGACAGAGCCAGGCACCACAGAGAGCAGTGTTATACAGGTACAATAGTGACAGAGCCATGCACCACAGAGAGCAGGCTGATATACAGGTACAATAGTGACAGAGCCAGGCACAGGACAGAGAGCAGTGTTATACAGGTACAATAGTAGACATGAGCAGAGCCAGGCATCACAGAGAGCAGTGATATACAGGTACAATAGTGACCAGAGCCAGGGCACCACAGAGAGCAGTGTTATACAGGTACAATAGTGACAGAGCCAGGCAATCACAGAGAGCAGTGATATACAGGTACAGTAGTGACGACAGAGCCAGGCACCACAGAGAGCAGTGATATACAGGTACAGTAGTGACAGAGCCAGGCACCACAGAGAGCAGTGATATACAGGTACAGTAGTGACAGAGCCAGGCACCACAGAGAGCAGTGATATACAGGTACAATAGTGACAGAACCAGGCATCACAGAGAGCAGTGATATACAGGTACAATAGTGACAGAGCCAGGCATCACAGAGAGCAGTGTTATACAGGTACAATAGTGACAGAGCCAGGCACCACAGAGAGCAGTGATATACAGGTACAATAGTGACAGCCAGGCACCACAGAGAGCAGTGTTATACAGGTACAATAGTGACAGAGCCAGGCATCACAGAGAGCAGTGTTATACAGGTACAATAGTGACAGAGCCAGGCACCACAGAGAGCAGTGATATACAGGTACAGTAGTGACAGAGCCAGGCACCACAGAGAGCAGTGATATACAGGTACAATAGTGACAGAGCCAGGCACCACAGAGAGCAGTGTTATACAGGTACAATAGTGACAGAGCCAGGCATCACAGAGAGCAGTGATATACAGGTACAATAGTGACAGAGCCAGGCATCACAAAGAGCAGTGTTATACAGGTACAATAGTGACAGAGCCAGGCACCACAAAGAGCAGTGATATACAGGTACAATAGTGACAGCCAGGCACCACAGAGAGCAGTGTTATACAGGTACAATAGTGACAGAGCCAGGCATCACAGAGAGCAGTGTTATACAGGTACAATAGTGACAGAGCCAGGCACCACAGAGAGCAGTGATATACAGGTACAGTAGTGACAGAGCCAGGCACCACAGAGAGCAGTGATATACAGGTACAGTAGTGACAGAGCCAGGCACCACAGAGAGCAGTGATATACAGGTACAGTAGTGACAGAGCAAGGCACCACAGAGAGCAGTGATATACAGGTACAGTAGTGACAGAGCAAGGCACCACAGAGAGCAGTGATATACAGGTACAATAGTGACAGAGCCAGGCACCACAGAGAGCAGTGTTATACAGGTACAGTAGTGACAGAGCCAGGCATCACAGAGAGCAGTGATATATAGGTACAGTAGTGACAGAGCCAGGCACCACAGAGAGCAGTGATATACAGGTACAATAGTGACAGAGCCAGGCACCACAGAGAGCAGTGATATACAGGTACAATAGTGACAGAGCCAGGCACCACAGAGAGCAGTGATATACAGGTACAATAGTGACAGAGCCAGGCACTATAGAGAGCAGTGATATACAGGTACAATAGTGACAGAGCCAGGCACCACAGAGAGCAGTGTTAAACAGGTACAGTAGTGACAGAGCCAGGCATCACAGAGAGCAGTGTTATACAGGTACAATAGTGACAGAGCCAGGCATCACAGAGAGCAGTGTTATACAGGTACAATAGTGACAGAGCCAGGCATCACAGAGAGCAGTGATATACAGGTACAGTAGTGACAGAGCCAGGCATCACAGAGAGCAGTGTTATACAGGTACAGTAGTGACAGAGCCAGGCATCACAGAGAGCAGTGTTATACAGGTACAATAGTGACAGAGCCAGGCACCACCAGGTACAGTAGTGACAGAGCCAGGCACCACAGAGAGCAGTGATATACAGGTACAGTAGTGACAGAGCCAGGCACCACAGAAATATCAGAGACACTGAAAAGTACTTTATCCGAAGTGAACAGAAGGGCCTGTTCCAGGAATCTCTTGTTGCCCTGACGCCGTGAGGCATTTCCAGGAGTAGAGAAAAGAAAAAGCTGAACAATATAAGCCAGCCAATACAACACTCAGACTAGCGAGTAGCGACACCAGACTCCTCAGATCTGCTAACAAGACCTCTTTCTTACATTGCAGGAGTCCCAGGTGACAGTGGAGTGTGCTATACCTCAGGCTGACCACCGGACAGTCATGGGGGCTGGCGGAACCAACGTCCGAGAGATCACCAGGAAGTTTGATGTCGGTATCAAGTTCCCTGACCGGCCTGTCCCTAATGGAAGTGAGCACTCATTGTGTTTGTGTGTGTGCACGTGTGTGGTTGGTTGGTTGGTTGGCTGCTGTCCCTCAGAGGTTGTGGACACGATATGTAAATCCTGGTTCACTTTAGCTGTGGGCAATAACCAACAGACCGCTTTGCTTTAGCTTCGACAGTGTTGTTGGGTTGTGCCGGTTCAAAAAATAATGGCAAACTCATTCTTTGTCCTCTTGTGCTTTCACATGTTTGTTATGAGGTGCTTTGCATGGTCTCCACGAGTACATTGTGGCCAGCAGAAAGTCTGTGCTACAAGTGACGGCACGAGATACTTGTGGCTGGTCGAGTAAGCCAGGGGAAGCCAGAGCTAGACTCGTGGTCAGTTGATTATCAGAAGTTGTAGAAGACAGATGTATTAATAGAAGATGTAGTCTCTATGTCGTGTGAGTGACCAGTGTTTGAACATGTCGCGAGCGATTGAAGTGTGAATAATCGTTGAAGCATGTGGAATAAATGTAACTGAATAAACTGATAGCATGTACAAAGAAGCCGAGTGGCGTTTGTGTTATCAACCCTAGACGTTAGAGCAGTGCAAGTTATATTGAATTAATCATCCAGAGAGTGAGCCATGGCGAGAGCAGAAAAGTAGTAAGCCAAGAATTACAAGAGATGTGGCAAACCACGATTCATTCAAAGGTAGTTAAAAGCCGGTTCATTTCAAGTTAGTCAAGAGCAATGGTTCATTCCAATGTTACACAGGGCTTGTAGTCTATTCCTCTATTCTGTTCTGTCTGTGACAAACTACTCACCATAAAATATGCCTAGTAGAATCACAAACATCAGAAACAGACTGGAAAAACAACACTGGTTATGACTACGGAAAAGATTTTCCGAGGCACTTGAACAGAACAGACCAAGTCACAGTTTTTCGCGTACGCACTGGACACTGCAGACTCAATAAACACTCATATAAATTAGGTATGAGCCAAACAGCTCTCTGCCAGTGTCTTCGTGCTGAACAGACTCCAGAACATGTCCTGCAAGACTGTCCTCTCCTGGCGGAGCTGCGGAGCGACATATGGCGACAACTAAGCTTTGGGGAAACCTAAGAGACCTTGAAAAGACATCCCAGTTTATGACCCACAGTGGATTATGCGCATGACCAGAGATCGCTGAAGAAGAAGAAGAAGAATCACAAACAGCAACAGAATGTTTGGGTTGGTACTAGGGCTGCAACGAATATTTGCTTCGGGGGCCGAATAGTGGACCTAATTACTATTCGGTATTTGGCCGAATAGTTGCGGACGGGCCGAATACGAATAGTGGTTACACTCGTTTCTAGACTGGTGGAAAATGAATATATCAAGATTTCCCACCTTGGTTCATACTGCCTTAATGCTGATAACATGGAACGATTGTTTTTTTGTAAGAAACAGAATAGGACAGGCAAAAACTGCATTTTATAAAATGAAGGACATCTTATGCAATATATTTTTGTCATTGAAGGTTAGAAAAAGAATTCTTGCTTGCTACATACATCCAGTTTTAACATATAGCTGTGAGTCCTGGACAATCGGTAGGCAGGCCAAACAATTTCTTGAGGCTTCAGAGATGTGATTCTACAGAACAATGCTTAAAATAAGTTGGACAGCGAACAAATTTATTAAAAAAGCAACCAAAAAGTTTTGAAAGAGACGGGAGCCCGAAGACAACTACTCACAGACATCAGGAGACAGTCATCTTTTTTCGGCCATGTTATAAGATGAGGGAAAATGGAACATGTGGTGACCACTGAAAAGATCTGTGGAAGGAGGGATAGAGGAAGACAACGAGAGAAGATTCTTGACAGTCTTGTAGCATGGCATGGAGGTGTGTCGGCACACGAACTGATTTATGCTGCAGGAGATCGCAGATTGTGGCAAGGCATAATCGCCCATGCCAGTCGGCAAAGCACCTGATGATGATGATTCACTATTCGTATTCGGCCGAATAGTTGGTCCAGCTATTCGTATTCAGCCGAATAGTGAAAATCACTATTCGGTACAGCCCTAGTTGGTACTGAAACATCCTGGGGTGACGAACATTGTCTAGATCTTTTATCCAGGGTATGCCAGCATGTTGGGAAATGAACAGGTGGACAGATTGGCTGGCTCTGCACAGCTTGGCAGGATATTGTTGCACGATAAGGCAGGCATGGCTAAGGCTTTGTGAAAGCTTATGTACATGTCGAAGGAGCAAATTGATCATCACAGTCTGGAGAGAGTTATGCAACGAGGAGTGGTGAGGGGATCTGACTGATGATTGACACTCAGAGGAAAAGCAAGATGGACATGTAATCAGACTGGTACCATTAAAATTGGAACTCTGCTGCTGAAGATGGGGATGGAGCACTTATAGGAATGCCCTGAGTGCTGAAACATCTTGTAAAAGATAGGTAAATACTGCTTGCTTGAAAAAGTCTCTGGCCAGTTTGCTGGTCTCGGACTGTCTTGGCTGTCTGTAACTTATTTCTAGTTGCTGGACACTCTACCCCTGCCCAGAGGTGTCTGGCAAAGGGAAGATGGCTTCTTCGTTCTCATAAGGATTTTTGTTTACTCTGTGCTGTTACCCTGGTTTCAGTAGGAGTTTATCTGAGAGGCCCGGAACTAACAGTCTGCATTCAAATAGCCAGATCTGTAAAATGGATGTGTATGCAGTAATCAGGTTCTGGGACAGAATTAGAGTTCAGAAGTGGACGAATAACCACAACTTTCCATTAGAGTTTGCAGCGGGGGAATGTGAAGAAGAAGGAGTAAGAGTTCCATTTTCTTTTTTCATTTTGTTATTGCAGGGATTTATAAGGCCTGCCTGTCAAGGTAGACATCGGCATCTATGGCTTCAGCATGGCAAGTGCTTTGATTTAGGCTGAGGTGCCGGGTTCAATCCCAGATACAGACCGTCTTGTGTTGGCTTTGACAGTAGTATGAAAAGTCATTTATTCAGAAAGCAGTGACAAACTACTGAACATAAACAAATGAATGAATCAAGAATTGACATCGCTGCACTCAGAATATTCCCATAAGTGATCTGTCCCCTTCTTCAGTAACCAACAAAAAGTTGACATGCTATTAATACCAGTGGCAATCTGATTAACGCCCACCTCTATTTCCCCTTCTGTGAATCTAATTCTTACTCTATCTTCGCTGGCCAGTGAGGAAAGTACCAAGCCTAGGGTACGCACTTTGTAACTCCAGCGATAATTCTACTTTTTAGTTTTACTCAAATCTAAATTCTTCTTCTTTCTTTTTTGCGTTAACCAGCTGTAAACTCTAGTGGAAAGTTTTAGTTGTTCATCCACTTCTGGACTGCAGTCCTGTTCCAAAACCTGGGTTTTGCATGTGCATCCGTTTGACAGTTCTGAAACATTTGTGTGCAGACTTTTGGTTTCTTGCCTCTCAAGCAGATGCACTCCGACTTCAAAGGAAAATCTAAATTGAAATGCATGAACATAAACATTGCCGGGCAAAAATTACAAACAGCCACAACAAAAATGCTGGGGTTAGTTCTGCTGGAGCAGACGTCAAACTGAGGGAGCCCCCAAGGGTCATTTGTGTTGATTTGTACATTTTCCTGTATTGCCACACTCAACAGGCGATGTAGAGAAGAGAATCCTGTTGCTGTTAATGCACAAGTCAACGCAGTGAAAATTCAGACGAAGCAGATGCACTAATCTATACAGACGGATCCGTTATATGCCAAAAAAGAAGGGCATTCACAGCACACTCAGCAAGCAGAACAGTCGAAGAAGCCAACGACGCCTTCTCCATGACAAACAGCAGCATGACGATGGAGGAGGTGATAGCAGTAACGCAAGCGTTCCCCTGACTACACCCGCGTATGTATACTCAGTGATTCAATGAGTATGATCCGGAGGGTTCAGGCAGGTTCGGTGCGAAGACAACGGCTTGAATCATTACAGAAGTCCACTATGCGTGGAGCCACCTTTATTTTTTCCTGGGACACGCAGGCGTCGTTGAAAATGAAATAGCTGATAGGTTGGCTGGATCCGCTATCACTACGGATGGTCAGCCTATGGATCATGCTGATATTATTAGTGCCCTCAGAGAAATGGGAAGGATGGAGGACTTTGGGGGCAGTGAATCCGCATCACTCGCCAGAGTGACAGACTTGGGAATTAAGATCGGCATAGCAAAAAACGAGATGCACACCAGAAGACTTGTTAATCAAAATAGAACTGGTACTATTAGCCATCGGACGTTGGGGTTCATACTGAGACCTATGGACATGTCCGGAGTGCAATGATGATAACCCAACTAACTAACTAATTTGTGTTGTCATAAAGACCACAACAACATGTAATAGAAGTCATTGAATTAAAATTATTACAGAATGTTTTTATTACTTAAACTTAGAAACGTACAGTGTACATACAAATAGACTAGCCATGTTCATGAATGCAATGTAGTATTTTTGTTTTTGTTTTTTTAACGTATCCAGAAACCATGAGTTGTAAACCCTTTGGCTCGGTACTATGGATATCGCAACCCTTCGGCATTGATTCCATTATAGGTACCGTTAATCTGGGAGAAATGTGACTTTTCTGCCTACCCCCGGGAGTGAACCCGGACCACAAGGAATTCGTCACCCGGCCGCCGCGAAAGTCAGGTTTTAAGCAACTTCGCTAGAGAGCCGGGCCAATGTAGTATTTAAACAAAATGGGAAGAAAAATGACATTTTAAATTGTAATATGCATTATGTATCTTTTGTGAGGGCTGCAGGACTGCTAGCTAAGGGCCACATATTTGACATACTTGCTGTAAAGGATACCCAGCTGACCTTTAACATTCGCTAAAGGTTATTCTGCGTCCCTGAAGTTAGTCGTTGGAGACATCTGGTGGTGGACTGAAGTTAGTTGTTGGAGACATCTGGTGGTGAGTTACAAGGTAACTTAGAGATGATTGCAGTAGCTTTTTAATTGCAGATTCTCCCGACGAGCCGCTGGTTAATGGAGATGTGAGTTCCGAAGACAACAATTCGACTGGCCCTCGCAAGAATGATGTCATCATCATCACTGGCAAACTTGAGAATTGTGAGAACGCCAGACAAGCGCTGCTGGTAATATTCTTGATTTATTTTGAATTATCACTGTGGGTGCCTTATGCGTTTAATGCTTGACATTATTGATTACCTGTAACAGGAAGCAGAATCTGAAATCTCCCTCGACACCTGAATTGGTAAAAGAGGAAGTAAAGAAGAAGATTGCTTGTGCACTACTTGAGGAAGTGAAGAAGAAGATTGCTTGTGCACTACTTGAGGAAGTGAAGAAGAAGATTGCTTGTGCACTACTTTTTAAATGAGACGGAGAGGAATATTTGATTGTGATTTTCATAGGAATGAAGCAGTCATGGGTTGTCACATCTGCAGAGAAGTTGAAGCTATAACTATCGAATCGCCATCTTGGCGGATGCTCATCATCATCATCCTCAGCACCATGGAAACTCCTAATAATCATTACCGCTGGGGGGGAGGGGGGGGGGGGTGCGTCCCTGGGTCTCAGTTTGAGGGAAAGAATCGACTCCTGCCTCCTTAACAAGCACGTCATAGAAAGCGACCAATTTTATCAATGAGTTCAAGACATCAACTAACAAATATGTCAGAGACCAAATGAATAAATATGCAGGAGATCAGGAGCCTCTTCTGGCAGTGGTGCAACATCGCAAGCTAGCTTGGTTCAAGCACCTGGTGAGACGTGATTCGATTGTAAAGACTTTACTTCAAGGAACATTTGGGGGCAAAACGGTGGGGTTAGAGGACTAAATTACTATACACATGTTCAACAAGCGGCAGACAGGAGGATGGTAGGTTTTGTGTGAGTGCTTTCATCGATACACCTCTATGACCCTAGCGGGTCAAGGGTTTTGTATGTATGTATGTAATTATGTAGGTATGTACATATGTAAGTGTGTGTGTGTATATATATATATATATATATATATATATATATATATATATATATATATATATATATATATATATATATACTCCCCGTGTGGGTTACGGAGCCCCATTGTGGGGAAAGCAAGAACAGACCCATCGAGGACTTTTTTCAAAGTCAGAGTGCATCTTCCCCAGCAGCAAGGAACAAGCAACTGCACACAAATAAGCCAGTATACGGATGTAGAGGCAAAACTCAGGCCCTGGCACAAAGCCAAATTCCAAATGGATGATCAGCCAGGACTTTCCAAAAGAGAAGCCGGTACAGCCTTCTAGCCCATCTCTGAATGGTGCTTGTGTGGCAGCCTCCTTCTGATGTCATCTCCAAAAACAATTTCCTTCCATCCGCCTATGTTTTATGGTGCCCTATTTTAGGGGGAACAAACTTTATTTCTAAAGGGTTATAAATTGGGCACACAGGCCTGTCTTACATTCGGCCCTTCCAAGCATTTATCTTTCATACTCCGTAGCAATGGCAAGGACCCTGAAATACTGTGGGTAGATTTTTAACTCCAGATTTTTCCTGGGCAACACTGTTAGGCTTCTTATTTTGATTTCTAACTGCCAAGGTATTTTTTACCTGCACAACAGTACACACGGGCGTCTGAACTTACTACCCAGAGACCAGGGGAAATAACTAGAATTCCATGTGTTAAAAATCCCATCCTTCGCCGGATCCTAAACCCGAGACCTCAAGCACTCGAGGTAGACGTCATGCCTCGAGACCTCTCAACCACCCTGTATAAATTAAAATTAAGAGGGAAGAGAAGAGTAGACCCAGAGTTCCTTAATGAGAAGATTAGTTTCGCATATGCTGCACAGAAGGGTGCAAATAATCGCAGCCCAGCTGTAAACCACAGCACAATATGCTAACTACCTTCCCAGATTCGTTCCATCGATGTAAAACTTCTTGCAACATAAAATGCAAAATTTTGCACTGTCTGAAGAAGTTTTTGCAAGAAATGAAGGGAAAACATGAAATAGGTGGATCACCGCCATGTTTATCTGGAATCTAGAAATAGAAGTATCTGTCTGCAGGATCTGGTGCCGGTGATTGAAGAGGTGAATGTCCCGTTTGAGTTCCACAAGTTCATCATCGGACAGAGGGGTAAGGATGTCCGTAAGCTGATGCAGGACTTTGATGTTAATATCACCATCCCCGCAGCAGATGAGCAGAGCGACGTGGTGAAAATTCGCGGCCCGCCCAGAAATGTCAAGGAAGCCAGAGATGCTATCTTGGAACGAGTTAACCAGTTGGAACAGGAGAAGGAAGATAGGGTGAGTATCTGTGTGTGTCTGCTTCTCTGACTCTTCCCTTCCCACCTCTCACTCTGAGCTCCTTCAATCTCTAATTGTGGCAAGAGAATAAAGATTAGGTGAATTTTTGTGTTACCCTTTACAAACACACACACACCCCATCCCCCCCCCCCCCCCCCCCCCCCACCAATTGCATTTTCATTCCCTCTCTTTTGTTTTACCTTCTTCCACTATCTTGAAGGATATGTGTTTCTGTCTTTATTGCTACATCTTTTACTCGCACCCCACACCCCTTTTGTTTTGGTTGCATTTTCATTCCCTCTCTTTTATTCTATCTTTTTCCACTTTCTTGAGAGATATCAGGAGTTTCTTTATGTGTTACTGCATCTTTGACTCATCTTCCATCCCCCTCTTTTATGTGCATCTTCCTTACCTCTGTTTTGTTCTATCTTCGTCCAGTATCTTGAGTGATATCATGTGTTACTGGCTCTCTACCCTTCTTCTTTCTCCCTTCTCCGTCTCTTTTGGGCTACCTTTTCTTACTATCCTTAGTTAAGACACAAGAAGAGAGATCGGGTGAGTCTTTGAAAGTGTGCCTCTCCCACTGTGTCTCTACCTCTTGTTTTCTACTCTCTTCCAGTATCTCTAGTTAGGACAGGAGGAAGATGTCTGTCCACCTGTATCACTCATATTTGTAGTCTTATATCCTCACACACACTCTGTCTGTCTGTCTGTCTGCCCTATGCTTTACCCTATTCTAATCTTCCTTTTCTTAAAACTTGAGCAGAAAACATCATTGTGTTTGTTTTAGTGTCTATTTAACATTCTATATTCTTTTCTTTTTAATGTTTATTTTTTTATTGTATATTTTTGTATATTATTTGTTATATGTTTGTATTTTATATTGTAGTAATAATCAGATTGCAGTTACTCGTATCAAAACTCACTCTCTCTCTCTCTCTCTCTCTCTCTCTCTCTCTCTCTCTCTCTCTCTCTCTCTCTCTCTCTCTCTCTCTCTCTCTCTCTCTGAAAAAGAAATTAAAAAAAAATAATAAAAACTATTTGATGGTTGATATTTTTCAGGAACTGAAGAGTTTCAAAGTCACATTTGAAGTGGATGAAAAATACCACCCCAAAATCATTGGGCGTAAAGGAAACACTATCAGCAAGATCCGGGACAACCACCGGGTCAACATCCAGTTTCCGGACAAGGGCAGCGAGAATCAGAGTCAGATTACGATCACTGGCTACCAGGAGAGCGCGGAAGCCGCCCGTGATGAGATTCTCAAGTTGGTCAAAGAATTTGTAAGTTGGGGAAAGTTTCTCATAATTATAGACAGTTTTATTTGTTATAATTTTAGAACTTAATATATTTCTCCACGTGTGGGTTCCTTGGCGCCATTGTGAGGGAAGAAAGGAAACAAGAATAGCTCTTCTGCCTCCTAAGTGTGTTGTGAGCGTCAAATAAAGATGGGTGTTTCCTTCGGAGTCGGAATGCATCTGCCTGAGACACCAGCAGCCTGTCCACACACGAATGTGCACACACACAAAAGTGAGGTTCTCAATGAATAAACTGTTGAACACAGACAAAGAAGTAATTCTTATCCATTATCTTTTTAATCCTGCCTGCCTTTCAGAGTCAGGTTTGAAGAGGCAGCAGGCCTTGCTTTGTGCTATGTAGATGCCGGTATTTACAACCTTGCATATTCTATCTATCCATCATTTGTCTGGTTGACCTCTGGGCCTGCTTCTGTTATGTCTGAGTGACAGGGCTTTCTGTGATTCATATCTGGTTTTATTCTTGACATATGTTCTCCATCAAAGTTGCAAACAGCGGTGAATGGAGCAACAACGAAATTCACAATCTGTTTAAATCACCACTGATCACTGGCATCATGAGAGCTAATAGACTAAAATGGTTGGGGCATATTGAAAAGATATAAGATGACAGAGAAGTAAAAAGTGTATACAAGAGGAAGATGAATGGTCGTAGACCATGAGGCAGACCAAGAAGACGATGGAGAGATAATATCCAGACACCTGCAAACACTTGGTGTCACCAACTGAAAAGAGAAGGCCACCCAGAGAGATGAATGGAGGCAGGTGATTTCTGCAGCAATGAACCTCAAGGGCTAGGAATGCTGAAGAAGAAGAAGAAGAAATGTTCTGCTCTCCATGTAGGTTCGTCATAGCCCAATTGTGGGGAAACCATGAATAGATAGGCTGCCTAACAAGCATCTCGTAGTTGACTCATTAGGAATTTCCTTCCAAATCAGAGTGCATCTCCCTGATGAATGAACGCAGAAGTCCAGTTGTGCCTGTCAGCATCACGTTTTGAAGAGACATTGGGTGATAGTCTTGTTATGCCAGTATATATGGTCTCGAATATTCCATCTATCCATTGCTGCCGTGGTCAACCTGTCGTTCTGCTTCCATTATGCTCTAAGTGACAGGGTTCTTTGTTGTGCACTGTCTGGTTTGTCAGAACACATGTCCAGTCTATCTGATCTATTCATGTTCAGATTCTATAACAGCACAGAAGTCGACTAACAGCCAGAACTTTCTCCTTGAGTTAACAGCTGGTGAATGCAAAGAAAACATTCTTTCTTTGAATTTTGGAAATTAATATTGTTGATTATTATAATCCTAAAAATTGATATTGTTGATTATTATAATCCTAAAACTTAATATTGTTGATAATTATAATCCTAAAACTTAATATTGTTGATTATTATAATTCTAAAACTTAACATTGTTGATTATTATAATCCTAAAACTTGATATTGTTGATTATTATAATCCTAAAACTTGATATTGTTGATTATTATAATCCTAAAACTTGATATTGTTGATTATTATAATCC